CTTTCCCTCTTCAGAAACATCATAGAGATTGTGTACTTACCAAGAAACAAAAAAAGTTTGTGCTATATTTTCCTTTTAGCACTGTTAAACTCATTAATCCTTTTTCAAATGAAGCTCAAAGAAAAAAGTACACGCATAAGTTACTAATGTGTAATTATGTAAATGCAGAATCAAGATATGCCTATGTAAACAGTTTATCTCAGTCTCTCTGAATACACCCTCATAAAACATATGTAAAAGATTAGCTTTTCTTATAGAAAAGACTAAAAGTACTTGAAACGGCTGAATGTTGCATTAAGAACAAGAATATGCTTTTCCTGACTATGTTAAATTTTAATTTAACTAACGTCCCCCACACTTTATGCCAATGCTATAAATATTCAACGCATTTATATTGCTACATAGCATTCCATTTTGGCACATCCATATTGGATTGATGAGGTACAAGAATTCTGCACAGCCTTTGTTATGAAAATAAACCTGACTGACCTAAAACCACAGTTTTAGTCTATGTATTGGCAATACTTTTTCTCAGAGAATCCTATTGCAGTTGGTTTATTACGGCAAAAATGTTGTGAATAGCTTTGACAGACAGGCGTTTTGCAACGAGGTCATAGGTTTAGTTCAGATCTGCCCTTTTCTAATTAGCTAGACAGTATTTTACCATAATTGGCTCTAGTCACTGACTGATTTTTGTTCCCAAATACCTGTCATCACCGTCACTGATGCATTCAGGAAGAGCAAGACTACAGCCAAACAGCATGATGTGTTGATAGCAGCTGAGACGGTTGAGATAACTGAAGAACTTCAGGAACTTTTCCATTTCAATGCTTTTGACAATGGAAATAACTGAAGTTAGAGTGGTGTAGTTATATGGCAGCATTTGGCACTGGCTGTTGGTGATATTTATGCAGGCACCTGTGAAATCAAAACAACTAAATTTAGAAAAAATGAGCCAACTATTAAATAGTGATACTAAGTATATATAGAATTTACTAGTTCGTATATGTAATACATAAGCAACGCCGGTACCTCACAGATAAGATGACATTCCACAATGCTATCACAATACTGTCCAAAAACAAGTATCTAAGAACAGAAGGGATCTGGATAAGCTTGGCAGTTTAGTTTGGATAAGGAACCAGCCTCTTACAGATTTTCACAGTTCTCTGACCCTCTCAGTCTACAGAACTAGACTGGTTGCCAAATTGCCTTCTGACACAAGCTGGAGGAGCACACTATAAGAATAGCCTGGATACAGCCAACTTTGGCTGAAATCAAATACAGTAGCAGCATAGAAAAATAAGGCTAATTAGGACTGTAATGTTTCTGAGGGTTTTGAGGGTTCCACCAAGTTTCTACTACCATGCTGCTTTGTAGCTGCTCTTCCTGCCAAAACTCAGCAACTTCCCTATCTACTTCTCCCATCATTATGGTCCTGCCTCTAGAATCTTTCTTTTCTACCCTACCAATATAGAACTATCTTCTTTTATAGCTTGAACACCTACTCTGTCCTAAACTGTTCCTGTCCCACTCTCTAGCTATCAGTGATCCTTCTTTGCTCACACTCCATCATTTACAGTAGGCTTCCTCAGCTATGAATGATCAGCAGGTTAACATATTACATGAAGTTCCAAGAGTGAGTTTCACAAAGCACATAAAATTCAGACTTTTCAGCAGGAACAAACTATTAAAATCTAATACTCACAAGAGCTCCCTAGTTTGATGACGGCCTTCCTAGGCCATCTAGATCAGCTCTGGTATCATTTCTTTAAATTCAGAGCATGTCCATATTGTACAATAGGCAGGGATCTAAGCCCATTCTCAAGACCAGATTCTGCCACTAATCCTACTGTAAAAGAACCAAGCTCATGTTACATGACCACCCCAACAGTAGGGTTTCCTGAAAGAGGAAAACTCTGACTGCAGAGTCCAAGCACAAGTTTAAACTCCTGGTCTCATTATCTGAACAAACTGGGCACAGATGGTGTCAAACATGGTTGGTCCTAGTCCACCATCAGACATTTTGGAACTGTCTCCTTCCAAGCATTGTGTAGGACACTTACACCTGACCTCCTGACTCAAGAAGAGCTGGGGATGTAAAGCGCATAGGATGTAGCTCTAAGGGCTCAGCAAATCTCTTCTTCACCTTACTGTCTCACATAGTCTTCATTGTCTAAATGCACTAGTGGCAAAAATTCAGAATCTCCTATCTATGCAGGCTATATACACAGATCTAATCCTAGTTCCTTCATCCTCACATAAGAGTTAGGAAAGCAAAGTATAGAGAAGAAAAACACCATTACAACTTTTTCAAGTTGCAATATCCTTGAAGGGATCAACACAAAAAGTTAGGTTTCTTATTTTATCTACACGTGGTAAAATTCAGTCCCTACTTTTTCTGTGACTGATAAGTGCACTCATAAAGCTCCCCCATTTGTATTCTCTCCCTCCAGAAATCTCAATAAAAACAAGGATTCAGATTTTGCCTCCCTAAGAGAACAGTCTCCTCCTCACACATCCACAACTACACAAGGCCCCATCTTAAGACATTTTTCCCCCTCAATACTACCAAAAACAAATCTTAGCATCACTGTATACCCATCTTCTGCTACAATCTCTTCTCACTCTCAAAGTACAGTGAGTGATGGAACTATTCATCCAGGAATCATACTTTTCATATAATTCTGGGTCAGATTCTCAGGGTCATATCTCTCGTGCTGATTCACAATTAGAGGTAGATGCTGGGAGGTCAGCAAAAGTGGTGACCTTCCACATTAAGAGAATTTTCAAAAAAGCGCAGAGTGAAGTTTTTTAAAGTGTCTATGTGAGTTAGTACCACACACCAGTGACTTTCAGTGCAACTTGTGCTCTGAAGTTATATAGGCGTTTTGGAAAAATACCACCAGGATGATCATCAAATCTGCCTGTTAGGCTGTCAGACTGAAAGCTGGTGATTCCCCAGATCTAGAAGGGGCAAGGGAGAAGAAAAGGGAAAAAAAAGAAGGGAAGGAAATTCACTTCAGACTCAGTCATTTTATTTTAAGAGCTGTCAGAGACTGATCATCTCTTTAATGACTATTTGCTTTGTGACTTTTGCACAGTATTTTGGCCTTCTTTTAAAAGTAAAATCTCCATCTGTTTTTTGCATTATATTTTGTAATTTAAAAAATTCTTTGCCATTTATTTGTACCGCAAGGCTTGGAAAAGCTTAACAGTAACACAAAAAAGTTCTAATTTAAAGATTAAAAATACTGAAAGCTTTTTACAGCAAACAGTCTTTAAACTGCTAACCTTGTAACAGTGATCTCTTGCCTGCATTCTTTTGGTGATGCTCAGATAACATTTTCAGAAACTGCTATAATAAGAGGATGACACGCCCACTCAAAATCTTGGGCATGCCCTCCCCCCCAAATACACACTAAAGATATATAAATAAATCACATGATGCTAAATGGGGAGGAGGCAGCCGCAAACCTTAAGAAAGCAGAATTTCAACAAAACTATTTGTTAACAGCAGTAACTGACACTTGGAATACACAGAGGTAGAAGACACCACCCTGGAGTAAGGTTATTAGATGTTTATTACCCTGAAATCCCAGAACGGCGAGGGGAACCCCAGAAACCTTGCAGGGAAGCGAATGGGCTGTCCCAGCGTCAGCCCATGGTGAGGTTTGGGGGGACATGGGTTTAAGGCAAATTAACAGGCTACAGTGCAGGTTACTGTGCATGTGCTACAGATAACAAGGGAAGACGTAATTTTTTAGGTATACAGATAACAAGTCCAGATTGATGCCTATGCGGCACAAGTCTAAGGGTCATGATCTGCTGTTTCTCATGGATTCTGCACACCAAGTGTTTTGGCAGTGGAATAATTGATCAGTCAACATTCTCCTATCTCCTCGCCAATCTGCTGTTCACCCACTACACTATTCAAAAAATCACCACCTATCTCCTGAGGCACTATGGCAAAACAGTCCCTGCCACAGCATACCCAGGGGCAGTGCCATTTTGCCCAAGCTCACATGCATCTGCTGCTTTGGATCTTTTGCAATTCACACACTCTTGGCAGAGATGCACCACAGTTCCTTGGAGTTCTTTGATCTCTTAGAAGTACTCAGTGACTGCATAACACAGCACTGAATTCAATTTTCATGGCCAAGATGGAATTTTAAAGCAATTGCACAAGAACTTTTAAAAATAAAGAGTGATGGAAGAAGGGCTCAAATCCAGGACCTGCCCTAGTTACATGAACCATTTTCAGTTCCATAAATCTTGCATTCTTATACAAGGGCTTTCTTTCAACATCCATCCCAGGCACGTCTGTATCCTGGAATACTCTCCTGCAAAGGGGATGCTTGGGTTAGAACCCTGTCCCTCTAATATGGGGCTCAATCCACACCTTCTATTTTTTTATGTCATTTACCCAGCAAGTAAATTACCATGCAGCAGGTGAGCATCCTGTACCCTCCACACCTCTGAGTCAAAAAGAATAATTGCAGGGTAATGGCAAACAATGTATCATGATGCCACACACATCCTGGATTCTAACTGCAAGAAAGCAGCTCTGCAGAGAAGGATGTGCGGGGTCCTGGTGGACAAGCTGACCACCACCAGTAATGGCCAAGACGACTAATGGTGTCCTGGGCTGCATCAGGACGAGCGTTGCCAGCAGGTCGAGGGAGGTGATCCTGCCCTTTTCCCAGTCCTAGTGAGGCCACACCTGGAGTGCTGGGTCTAGTTCTGGGCTCCCCAGTACAAGAGAGATGTGGAGCTACTGCAGCAAAATGGCTACTAGGATGATTAAGGGACTGGAGCATCTCTCCTGTGAGGAAAGGCTAAGGGAGCCGGGCCTGTTCAGCCTGGGGAAGAGAAGACTGAGAGGGGATCTTAGCAATGTGTATAAATATCTGACAGGAGGGTGTAAAGACAGCCAGACTCTTTTCAGCTGTGCCCAGTGACAGGACAAAATGCAATGGGCACACACAAAACACAACTAGCACAAACTGAAACACAGGAAATTCCATCTGAACATGAGGACAAACTTTTTTACTGTGAAGCTGACTGAGCACTGGAACAGCTTGTGGACCAGAGAGGTTGTGGAGTCTCCATCCTTGGAGACATTCAAAAGGTATTTGGACAGGGTCCTGGGCAATCTGCTATAGGATGGCCTGCTTGAGCTGAGGGGTTGGACTAAATGATTTCCAAAAGCCCCTTCCAACCTCAACTGTTCTGAGATTCTGTGAACTGCAGTAGTAACAGCAGTGCTGTAGTCTCAGAAACCTTCTCTGGTAAACTAAGAAAAGCTACCTTGTGTTATCACAAGTTTAGTTCTGCATGAGACTAATTACCTCAGGAGAAGCACCACACTGGTTCACTAACACAGCATGGAGTTGCAGAGCACAGATGCATCAACTTTCTCCAAGCTAGCCCACAGACCTCTAATCCAGCAGCACGCAAACATATCATTTCATCTTCACAATCAAGGCCTGAGGAGACCTTACTGAATGTTCTATTTTTCTCTCAGGTTCCACACAACTGCATAAGCCAGGAGACAGACATACTTCGTATAACACGTTCTTTCATAGCCAGGTTGTTTCACTTAAATTGAGACAAGAACAGAACACGGCGATTCTCTCTTCTGACCAGTTGCATAAAACAAGCTATTAAGCCCCTCCATTAATTCTTGCATCAAGCCCGATAGCTTGTGACAAACAGAACATGTCCTTAGACAGGCAAGGGCATTCAGTGCCAGAATTGCTCCATATGTAGATAAACAGTGATACAGCCAAAGCATTCTAAAGAGTAAGGAAAACTTTATTGTAAGAGACACTAAAAGTAGTTAGTGTCAAGTAGGAGGAAAGTCATCTAAAATTTAGACAAAATGAACCACTTTTTAATGAGGAGTGGATATTTAA